TTAATAGTAGCCATACGAGATAACGCCAATTGCTGACAGTCATATCAAGTGCTGGCAACGTCGTACAACCACAGGAGCCATCTCGATACTTGAGATCGTAGTGCTGAGGTTCATGGCCAAGATTCAGCCCTGAAAATAAGATTCACACTAATCCTGCAGCTACAACGCTAGGCCCGCCAAGGGTAAGGGTTCCTTTCAATTTTCGCACACACGCGCACACACATTTCAAACACATGCAGCATGGCAAGCATTAAACAGTTGGAGTAATGAGATGCCCGTTCACCACAACTATGGAATTTGGCTGGAAGGTATCTTTTTTGGTAATTCATTCATGTGATCCTGTTTACGGACCTTTCCTTTCCTCGAAACTCCAAACCCAATGCCAAGGTTAACAATCCTCAAATGCCCGTGACCTGATGAGATAAAGCAACTTTTTACTCCTGCTGGAGGAACTCCTGGATACGCTCCTGTACGCGCTGCTCCTTCTCCTCCTTGGTGAGCTTCTTGGTCTTGTACTTCTTGGAGATCTCCTTCCACTCCTCCTTGGTCTTCTTGGGAGCATCGCTCTCGGCCTTCTTGAAGGGGTCCTCACGGATGGCGGCGTGGGCCTCAGTGTAGAGGTCCTCAAGACCCTCAGCCTCGACGTCATCGTCGACGTACTTCTGGAACTGACTGCGGAAACGCTCCTCATCGTCGTCGGCGAGGGTCTCCATGTACTCAGCAACGTGGCCGCCGAAGATGTAGTTTCGGAGGGTGTCGGCATCGAGCTCCTTGGTCTCCATGTCGTAACCGGGGAATCGCTTCTCGGAGTGGGGGACGAGGATACCACCGTCGGAGGCACCCTTCATGGCACCGAAGACACGGGCACCGGTGGAGGTTCGCTTCAGACCAACATCGAGGAAGACCTTGAAGGGGCGGCGCTCGCCGTCATCGGTCTCGGCGGCCTCAGTGAGCTTGAACTCACCGTCAGCCTCCTCGACACCAGTGAAGTCCTCGTCGAGGCCGAGCTTCTTGAGGGCACGGCGGGCGATGAGGAGACCGGTAGCGTAAGCGGCGGCCCAGTTGGTGAGACCGTGCTCGATACCGTAGGCCTTGAGCTCGTGCGAGTAGGCAGAGACGAAGACCTTGTCGCCAGAGATCTCAGAGGTCACGATCTGGCAGATGATGTCCTTGTTGGTGAAGCGGACGACCAGGCGGTACTTGGGAGCATTGTACTTGTTCTTGGCCTGGGTGATAAGGCGCTTTCGGGCGTAGTAATCGGTCTTGCCCTGCTGGCGGCGCTTGTACTTGGTCTGGTAGCGGCTACAAGATTGTCAGCAATTTCTCTAGGTGGAGAGGACCCCAGAATGAACTCACCTGTAGTACGCGCTGTTCTTCACCAACTTGTGGAAAACCTATCACAAAATCCCCGAGTCAGCAATTTGCGCTTCAGATTTGCTCTCCTCCTTCCGAAGCAACTTGCGGTGACTCTTTCAGAGCAATTGGCATTTCTGCCGTAAAAGATAAAACACCAAGGGAGTTCTTCTGCGAAGACATTCCCTTGCGATAGGCCTCAACTTACCATCTTGACGGTATTTGCTCAACGACGACTTGAGTGTTGAAGTTTGGGAAGTTGGTGCTGAGAGAGGAATAAGCCCGTAAATTCTCAATGGTGGGGGATATTTTCATATAGCCCTAATCGCCTAAAATCGCTTAGCTTCGTTTGTGCCTGCTTGGACCTGGGTTGGGGACGAGTATCAGTCACGTGGCTGAGACTCATCTTATCTTATCTCCCCAAGACGCCAGCCTAAATGGGGGATCTACCGAGGCTCCTCGGATACCCCATGCCTCGGTGGAGTCTTTCCTGGGGTTGAAGATCGCAAGAATATGTCGAGGAGTAGTTAGATAGTTGAGTTCTTACATATCTCAGTTCCTAATATTCACTCTGGAGTCATAAATCTATAATCTCAGCCCTTTCCATCTGTCAAATCAGTTATTATGTCAGAGTCTAAGCCCAAAGTCCTGTTATTCGATATAGGGGGTGTCTGTGTAAGTGATTCATGACAAAATGTTTACCACCAACTGTATTTTGCTTCTCAATCCTCTGGATGGCTCCATCCTAGATGTGTAGTTATTTTCCTCTCACCCACAATTACTAACCCATCCAGGTCGTTTCCCCTTTCCAAGCAATCCTCGACTATGAGCTAAGCCTCGGAATCCCTCCAGGGTGGGTCAACTATTCAATATCCAGGACTGCTCCCAACGGTTTCTGGCATCGATTAGAGAAAGGAGAAATCCAGATGAATGAAGAATTCTTCAAGGGCTTCAGTCAAGACCTTCATGATCCAACTAGATGGGAGACCTTCTACAAGCGAGAGCAAAGCAAAAATCCCAGTCTCCCAAAGGAAACCCCTCCAGTTCCTTCAATCGATGCAGAATGGCTTTTCAATGAGATGATGACCGTTTCTAATAACCCCGATCCATGGATGTTCCCAGCATTGAAAAAGCTGAAGGAGGATGGGCGATTCATTCTCGCGGCTCTGAGCAATACCGTTATCTTTCCGCCTGGCCATAAGCTCCACCTTGATCATTTCTTCGACGAGCCTGTGCGGCAGATATTTGATGTCTTCATTTCCTCCGCCCATGTTGGAATTCGAAAGCCAGATCCTGCCATGTATAAGCTGGCGCTTGGCCGAGTAAATGGGTTCGCGAAAGCCAATGCCCATTCAGGTCGGGGGGAAAGCTTGAACTGGGAGGTTGGCGTCAAGGCAGAGGAAGTAACTTTTCTCGATGACATCGGAGAGAACTTGAAGGAAGCACGGAAACAAGGGCTGCGAACAATCAAGGTGAACCTTGGTCGAGCATTCGAGGCTGTCGATGAGCTGGAGAGAGTGACTGGGTTGAAGCTCGCTGGTGATCATCCAAGGATACCAGTTGAGCCAAAGGTTCAGAAAGTCAAGGCAAAAATGTGAGATATACCTAAAGATATTCAGGGACACTTATATATCAGATCTTCCTGGCGACATAGACATAGAGAATATCAGATACCTCAACCTTGCCATCTACTGCAGCATTGTGCCACTCTTCCTTGAAATATTCCCTTCCTTTGACTCTTAATTCTTCTGTGACAATTGAGGCAGTCAGAGGGCCATTAACAACGTAGTCAAACTGCTCATCCGCCTCGTCAAGACCGAAATACGTTGAGCCAAGTCCAACAATCTTTTCCAAGGTCTCAACCTTTTCAACCACGAAACCACGACTTTCCAATATATCACGAAAAGACTCTTCAGATTTGATCCAGCTTCGGTTGGAGGGGAATGGCATGCCCAATCGGCGAGCGACTTTCTCTAATAGCAGGCCCGAGCGAAGGTTATACTCATGAGTGATGTCGATGGCAACTCTGCCGCCTGGCTTAAGATATTCCCGCCAATGCGCGACAACTTCCTCTGGGTTTTCTAACAGAACAAAGGCACTTGAGCATAGTATGAGATCAAAGCCGCCCTTGTCTACATGTGGACAACCGGTCAAATCAGTGGCGTTGTGTCGAACAAGTTTTATGCGGCGATCTAATGCTTCGTCGTGCTTCAGTTTCTTGCGTGCTTCTGAAAGCATCGCTTCAGTTATGTCGACACCAATGACAATTCCCTCATCACCGACGTGTTTTGCTGCAATGACAGCCTCCAGGCCAGTTCCACAGGCGAGGTCGAGAACGCGATCGCCGGATTTGATGGGAACAAGTTCCATGAATCGTTTGCTGTAGTCGGGATGCCAAGAATCCTCATAGTTGGTTGCTCGTTCAGTGTACATGCGCTGAGCGGCATCTGATTGACTTTCAGTTGAAGGCATGACGAGAGGGTGTGTAATCAAATTGTGGGAGTATCAACCAATGTAATTTTGATGGTAGTGATGGGTTCGTCAATCAATTCAATTGATGAGCGATCTTTGTGTTGTTCTAAGAGTCAATCGTGACATATTTTCTTGATTGACAGGACCGGCGTGTTGTTACACCGATTACACTTATATGAGTAGTCCTACTTGATTGGCTCCTCGTCACGTCTTAACGTACCTGCATACTACATTATGTAGTACAAGTTCGAATCGCTGCATTCCGACTAGAGGACCGTGATTCCTACTCGAGCATTTACAACTCAGTTCTATATCAACCGACTCCAATTTAACTACAGGCTTGATGATAATTCAGTTCGCTTCTGCAGAAGTGACGCCATGCCAGAAGCTATCCCCACAACTCGCAACGGCCCGTCCGCGTGGCTGTGATGCTACGATATCTTCAGTACCACTGAAGAACGCCTCATAAGTGATATTGCGCATTTAAGAAACACCAATTTTGGAGCGAACTAGGACTGAATCTGACTCGAGGCGCCCTCGGATGCCTCGTGACCCTTGATGATACGACTCGCAGGGGGCGCAGAGGTTTCGAGACAAGGGTATGTAGAACCAACTGCATAAACTAGGCATCTACCAACATATCTTGGAATGGCACACTCGCTGACTCTTTATTCCTCAGACTCGAGATAACCGCCCTCTGCAGCTTCAGCAATGATTTGGGCGACGATAGAGGTCAATGTGTCAGTAATGCTCTTGCCATGAGTGAATCACGTCGTTTCTGTCGAGCGAGTGTACGTAAGTGAGATGGTAATACTCAGACTATCAGAGACGGAAATAACTATATAAATGAAATGAATAGATTATAACTCTTCTCACCAAGCACGTCATATCATCCATCGTCTTTCTACAGAGACTCCACCCAGCTGAAGTCCTCCCTGGCCCGTTTTCACGACCACGGTCTGTGAGGCAGACACATCGTGCAGTAGTAGGAACCTTGGAGGCCCTCCTCACAGACACTGCCCCCAGAGGGCGCTTAAAGATACCCTCACCAAGTTATATATCGTCAAGCTTACCTGCGCTGCAGGCATCATGTTGGCATAGAAACCATCACCAGCCTCTTCTTCTTACAGCTCGATCCCAGTTAACTCGAAGTTCAGCTTCTGGGCTTGTCCAATATGATCCCTACCACTTCCAAGATTGTTTGGCCAACTACTACAGCGTCCCTCTGCGAATTACTCGAGGTCGATACCGACGTGAAGAAATGCCATGCCTTGACGAAGAAGAATGCTCGTTGCAAAAACAACATCAGCCAAGCCAACTCTACACTTATTACTTGTCTTCTGAAAAAAGTCATTGTCCATGGAAGCTTCTCTGCTGCTCAGACCGCACTTGAAGAAGTCTCTGACTTGATTATGTGTAGGCATCGTCATCGACAAGACGGTCCCCTTCGTCTGGCCCAGTGGGCGGAGATTCTTAAGCCCCTTGAGGTTGTGCTTATCAAGAAAGAAGACACCAAAGACACTCTCAAACCCGATGAAGAAATAGTTAATGCATCACCAACTACTCCTGTTATGTCCTTCCAACAACAGGTTCAACCCAAGAGCGAAACTCCCAAGCCCACTACCACTTCTCGTCGCAGATCTCAGTCATCCCCTTCTACCCCATCAAAATCGTCCCCAAAGCTTCTCCTACCCAAACTACATTCGCCCAAAAGTCCCAAATCCGCACATGAATTCGAGGACTTCTCCCATCCCCGCTCGACCCTAGAGACCAACAAAGCAATGAAGAAGCTACTCCTTCGCTCCTTGCAGGAAGAGGAGACAAAACATGGAGGTTACATCTACCTCTATACCTATTCTGAGAGCTACCACGACGCACATCCTTATATCAAGATAGGCTTTGCTCAGGACGTCGGTAGGCGTATGCGAGAATGGAAATACCAGTGCGGCTACGAGGCCAAAGTGCTCGGTGAGTTTCTGGCCGAGCACTACGTCAAGGTTGAGAAAATTGTACATGCTCAGCTCTGGAACCAAAGAAAGCGAGAAAAAGGATGCCCAGCTTGCAACATTCGCCACAAGGAGTGGTTCAAGGTCGACGCTATGACTGCCTCAAAGATCATTGCTCTGTGGACTGGCTGGATGAGACAGGAGCCATATGATGAAGAGGGAAATATCCTGGATAAGTGGCGTGTTAGAATTGAAGGCCTTGACATGGCTGATCCTGATTGTTGGGACTTGCTTATCAAGGGGCTTTTTGATGGCGATGTCGAAGAGTCTGAGCTGTCCGAAGAGGGAGATAGCTTTGCGTGGTCGAGTGATGAGCAGTCCAATATCTCTGAAGAAGATGCACTCGAGGATTATGATACTAACAAATCTGAGATTTCTCTCACTGACGACGAATCTGACGATGAGGTATCTGTGGGAGATGACGATGAGTGATAGGATCATGGTGTTACAGGACATTTTGGCACGATGTAAGATATGGGCGGCGATTTTTGGCATTCTCTGGGAGTTATTATGGCGTTTTTCAATTTTTCCCGAGATTAACTATGATACCCTGCAATTGCGAATATTCATTTCAACCGCCTTTCGTTCATGCGTTGATAAGTTCATATATAAGCCTTTAGGGCCCAGTCTTTGTTTAAGGACGGTGACTAAGAAATTCAATCAGAGGCTTTAATCTTCCATGGCATTTCTTCCAACAGCCCCGGAGACCAAGTCGGTTTGATTGCACCCTGATATGCATCTTCCCCAACTTCTCCTGACGACCCCTGAAATCTGGACTCGAGCCAGTATTTTAGCCAGCGTATTTCCTTTACCAGTTTTGATGTACTAGCCATGTCATTCGTAGATTCTTCTTCCAGTGTTGAAAGAACGAATTGTTCCACCGCTGCCCTGCGCAATCGTTCTGCTCCTTCATAACGTGATATCATCCGATCCAGCACATTGCTAAGATCAAGCGTCTGTCGAACAGACTGAGTATCCCAGTCAGGAATCTCAACAAGAAGCAACCTTGCAGCTTGTAGCATGACATAGAGAATTTGATCGCATGTAAGTATTGAACAACGTAATAGCAGATCAACAGACGAGTCAAGAAGAAGATCGAAAAAGGACTGCATTGTCTGAAGACAGTTGCGCAAGCATGTCAAAAGATAGACGAATTGAGGAACACCCTCATCAGGATGGCATGCCACGATAATTGCTGGTTCAAAGAGACGCACTAGGAGATATAAACGGTAAAGCTCAAACATCTGGCTGTATGTTTCAAGACTGTGGTTGGGAATTGACTCTGCTAGGCGACTCAGGTCATTGCGGAAACGACTTCCAGTTCCTTCGAGAAGGACAGCATATGGTCTTAACAGCGTGCGCTCATGCGGCTCGCCAAAGCTTCTTGAAAGTCTCTCACCCATCTGAACGAACCGAACAATAGACTCTATTGAAGAATCAGATGGTATTGCTTGAGCCTGGGAGACAGTCTTGAGATATGTCTCCATGTAGGGTATGTCGAGAGGACTTCGTCGTGATTGTCTTGTTGACACACTGGAAACCTTTGTCAGATAAGAAATAAGGTATATCGGTAGACTCACATTGACAGAATGCAATACAGTCCGAGAAGAGCTCGTATCTCCTCCAATGAAATTGTCATGTGTGCTTTGCCAGGCGTTCCAGAGCTTAGTGTTTGAGCTGACAATATGTCTTGTGTGATATTCAAGTTATGTGCACACCCAAGTGCAAGATACGCCAGATTGGTGACCTGACTATTGTCAATGTGACACCTGTGCGCCCTGTACGACTTATCAGCATAAAATTCACAACCATCAGATCGACCTACCAAGCAATGATCACCAGTACACCCTGTAGTATATCCAGAGTCTTGTCTTCTTCAACCATTACCCTAAAGCTCAGATATGCGAGTATGTTGCGTCTCGTCTTGGCCACTCTAGCTTCAGATAATGGCGCAGCGGCCATCATTATAGCACGAAATAGAAGCGGACTGTCTTTGTGCAGTGATTCTGCAGTGTGATGACTCCCGACTGTCACGAAGGGGAATTGGGGGGTGAATCCTTCGCGGAAGAGGCTAAGAACTTGAGCTGCTTGTAGCCATGATAGTCCAAATGGGGGCTGGGAAGTGCCTATATCAGGCTTTGTGTTTTTCTGGGCTAGATTCCTGGCCGACTTGTCATATCCTGGTGCTTGTTGATTGTTATTGCTGTGTTGGCCTGGCTGCGGGATCTGGTTCTTGCGGCTTATATTAGTAATTTCTGGCGAACTATTTGTGCTCATGGTAATGACTTGTTCTTGCTCTTCGGAAGTGATACTGTTAATGATAATCAGCTATACGTTGCATGTACGTTCGCATTCATCATACCTATTTCCGTGGTCAATTCTACGAGGCCTTCTCAGACTTCTTGTGTTCTGTGGCAAACAGTCCTTCTTCATAGTCTCACACCTTACTCTGTTACTCTAACATGATCACAGACATGGCCTGGGAGGTATTGTACCTATCGCAAATGTGCTTCTCCAGATTCCCTTCTCGGAAGTGACATTTTGCTTTGACTCTTGCGCAAGGAGCGCATGCTCGTTGTCGGCGGGGTGGACTAGGATCTCTGCCTATCATAGTGACCGTAGAGAGTAACAATTGAAGTCTGGTAGCTCCAGGGAAACTTATACTCCAGAGATTCACGTCGGCATCGCCCGTTGTTCAAAGAAGTCGTCTATCATACCAGTGGTGCAACTCTTGAAACGCCACCGGGATAAAGATTAGCCCGATAGTGCTTCGACGGGATAGAATATACTTTGGCGCACTATCAGTTGGTGCCCCGGTCGAAGGTAGAGTTAAACAATTTCGCAAAGTCCCATATCCTCGTTTGTGTCAGAGATGAACAACGACGAATGAAATCTATGCTCGACATACGAAGCGCTTGAATTGAATGGCAATCCTACTCAGTTTCCTATATATACGGGCATATAATGAAGAATGAACGCCCCTGACACCTTTGTCGATGAGTGCCGTCTCATACCCATCCAGCCCTGGATTATTGCGGCCAGAGCCAGCCTAAAAAATGGTATCTATTTTCAAAAAGCAATCCTGCTAAGATGCTGATAGCACTTGTTTCCAGAACGCCACGCACCAAAACAAAAATTCCCCAAAACACCCTTTCCCACCAAGAACCCCTCCCCTCCAACACTCTATTCATCATCCGATATGTCGATGACAGGTGTCGCGGGTGGTCTTGGATGCCTACTAGCATGGCCGTTAACCGAACCTTTAGGTTGTGGCGCCGGTGAATCGTCATCAGAGTCATCCGGCTCCCATACTGCAGACCACGTACCATCAGGAGCCACTTTGATGTTTCTTGTCCGCATGTCGCCATTGCTAATCAGCGAGCGCCTAACTGCCGCGAGATAATCATCCACCAAGAGACTGATAGGACGTGCATCGAGTCCACATATTGGACACCCCCATCTGTCCACCAACGAAGGTTCTTCCCCCTGTTGCTGCGGGCCGCCTCCTTTTTGTGGCTCTTTCCGAGGTCTGGTCTCCAAAAATGTTTCCAAATCAAAACATTCCAAGTGCTTGCATTGACTGCCCCTTACAGGAACCGTAACCCTCACCTTACTGAAAGGGTCTGCCAAGGAGATTGGCAAAGTCTCATCCTGGACGATGATGTCGTCTGAATCCGAGGGACGCAAGCGACGTATTATCTTGTACCTAGTCTCCTCTGCTGGGAAGCGTCGTGAGTGTATTAGCTCGTTGATTGCGGCATGGCTCATCGTCTCTACTATCTCAATCGCCATAAAATGCTTATATCCCGGCTTCGAATTCTGCTCGACAGCAGGATAGCTAATGGTCATTTTGTTCTCGCCCTCAACTAAAAAATCCGTGAGCTCCAGTGGCTGATCTTTATGAAAATGTTGTTTTCGGCGCAGCTCGAGGGACTTCGAATTCAGGTCAAAAAATATATGGCTAGGCCAGCATGTTGCAGATATCACCCAATCTGACTCAGATGGCTCGGCTTGTGTCTCAGGCTGCACAACCATGCGCAGCCGGTAACGACGAGAGCCCTCGGAATAGTAGCAAAACGGAAGACCAATCCCCTCGATCTTCTTCGCCAACTTTTGTAGCTGATCTTTTGTCACGTTGAAAGACAGAGACCGCAGTCCTCTTTGAGGCTCAAGGGCTAGAGGCTGGTATACTAGCTGTCTGATAAACTGATAGTATCGGATTTTGCCAGGAGTCAAGGGAACGCGCCTGGGACTGCGTACACCGACGTACTGCAAACCAACTTGAAGTGAGCCAAGGCCATACGGACTAGCTGGATACTCGTTTTCTGGTATTTGTTGAACGGGCCCAGCCAGGGAATACGGATAGCTAGCAACTGGTACTTGGTATGCTGGATTCCGTGGCCCAATTGGCTGAGCGGAATAAACATGAGTTGGCGTCGCTGGCATCATCATGTTATACTGCGACGTAGATGCCCTGCGCGGCGGGTTTAGTTGATTGTATGCCATTTGAAGTTGCGGGGACTGCATCGGCTGGACATGATGAGAGTTCATCTGTGAAACTGGACTCGAGACTAGCGGCGTACCTGCCGGCTGGTAATACGGTGCCTGGCTTTCTGTATATGTCCCGTAAGGGCTAGGAAGCGCCCGAGATGGATGCGCAAATGAGGCTGCTCGTCGTTGTAATAGAGGATTATTCGGCGGTAGAATGGCTGTTCGTGAAGGGCCATTCGATGGAATGACAGGAGTGTTAGTCGTAACTGGAGATCTCCGGTTTGGTTGTATCGGAAGCGACCCGGCGCTTGACGACCTGGGTAACGGATGCTGTGGTAACTGGGGAGACTGGTAGGCAGTGGCAAAAGGAGGCGACGACGTTGCAGTGTCAGTTTGGATGTGGAGGTGATTCGGTCGTCGCGGGCCCTGAATCCCACTGACACTGTTGCCCGTCGAAGGCGTGTGATTGTTCATAGACCCTGGGCTTACCACCCTTGGGTCGCCTATTGAAGGCCGAGCAGCTAGCGCATCGAAATGCGGGATGAGAGAAGAAGATGAAGCCGGTGCGGTATGTGTGGGGTAAGAAGGGTTAGTTGTTGTGGGTGGCAGCGATTGATGTCCACGTTGTGCAGATATATGAGCACTCGAGCCTGCATCTTTTGGCCGTAAGAGTGAGTAGTTTGTCAAAATAAAAAGCGAATTTCTGGAAAACATACTGGATGTTGCTCGTTGCGCCGCCGACATAACAAAGTCCCGATACTTCATCGCAATTGTCTCCCTGGCGCGGTTCAGGGATTCAGGGGGCTCACCGCGAGCCTCATATGCAGCTTCGTCCTCCCTGTCCTGATCAAAAATAACGTTCATCGCACCTGCTATAGGGCCGTCATTTACACCAAGGCTTCTGCGAGTCATGGTGAATAGCATAGCCTGTAGACCTTTGGCTCGGCACCGCAGAATGAATATCAGCTCATATGCGAGCAAAGGATACTTTCGTGCCTGAACATTTTGTGAGAGCGTATGCCAGGCTGTTGCCAGCTGGATGAGAAACGCAGAAATGTCTCTCGCCGCTTCTGTGTTGGGAAAGACCCGAGAAAACTCGGCGATGGTACTGGGAAAGTTGGCAAACCATTGCAGATGTGCATGGGACATATGCTCATTCTTCCTAAGAATGGTCTGCGCTACGTCAAAGGCAGCATCCAGAAGGCCTGGCTCCACTAATCCAAGGAAGAGCGCATGTATCGGCCCTCTGTTTAAGGACCAAGCACAAAGTGCCTGGTGAAAGGCAATGTAGAAGAAATCCTCGTTCTGGCATGCTTCCGCCAAGATTCTATATCGTGGTTTTTCAACTGTTTCGTTCAGGAGCCCGGCATGGACAGCTTGTGCCACGCGGTGCTCGATCGAGCTGTACCATTTCAGACAGATACTTCGGTCTCTGGAATTTCCCGGGCTTGTTGCTTCTTGGACCCGGGGGCGCTTTGCTTGATGATCGATAGTTGCGGGCGGTCTTGTGTGTTGCCTCGAGTTCGTTTCTATAGGCGCTCCTAGATTTTGGGGACGTGTTTCTGTGTTGGAAAGCGGCGAGGCTGTTGCCTGAGGAGCTTGAGCAGCCAACGCAGGACCGGTCGCCGTCGATTGAATTGCCGCTTGAGTGACGTAGTTTTGCTGTGGCATAGAACTCTTGGGCTGAAGGGAGATGGCGGCCGTAGAGCTTGGGTGGTTGATATTAGTCGCGACGTGTGTCGAGTCGCTTTGGTTCATGTTACTATCAGAGACTGGCCCCCCGGGCCCTGCGCTGCCTACGTGAGCGCTTGGATCGGGATTAGTGCAGTCGGTTTGATTCGAGCCATTCGGGCTCGGTGCGTCGGTCAACGCCGGAGAGGGAAGGACGGTCGAAGCTCTATGAAACAGAGTCAGAAGTGTTGGTGAATTGTAAGCAATGTTAACGTTGGTGGTGATACTACAAATCCCAGAAGGAGATGCAAGGCTACGAGACGTAGCCGAGGATCTGTTGCTTGGCAAAACAACATGCCTGACAAGATGGGGAAGGAATTTTAGTTAGGGGTAGATCATATATACCTTGCTGGTTCTCCGGCACTTGGTCGTTGCTCGAATGATTGCTCGGTCGGGTTATTGTCGCGTTGTATGTCATTGTCGTTCTGGGTTGGGGGAGCAGCGTCAGACACCTTTCTCTTTTTGTTCCGTTTCCAGGAATTACTGGAGGCTACTGGAGCAACTCTAGTAGGGTTGGTTGTTGCGGATGGGTCCCCTGTCATCCATGAGCGAGCTCGACCACCAAGGAGAAAATTGACAGTTTGGTTGGAGGAAGCGATCTGTTGAGCATCGGGTGGAGGGATAGCCCGTGACTGATTCGACTTTGAGGTATGTGGCATTTCACAGATGTATAGTGTCTTTTGGTATGAAGTTCTGGTTCACGATGTAGAGTCGCTGCGAAACCTGGGCGCGGAATACTACTTTGGAATCATGCTTCAACGTCGCCGCTTTTTGAAGTAGAGTGCCGCAAAGTCAATCATGGTTCAGCGAAGTGAATTCGCAAGGTTAAGGCGGCGAGGGTTGTTAATCAACCACGAGAGCGAAATGGGTGAGGTGAGTGAAGTCAAGAGAAACAGCGATGCTATCGATGCAGCTTGACGAGTAAAATCAACCCAACAGCACAGCCCGCAGTGGAAGAGAGTTGAAGTCGAAGAAAGGTCGATATCAAGAGAACCAGACTTATTAGAGAGATGGGTGTGCGTAGGTGGACGGATGAATGGTGGATGTGTGAATGTTGTTGGTTGAAGGCAAGCGGGAAAACCCTGGGACATCCTCACCATCAACAGCCCAACATCGAAAAGCTATTAATGAGAAAGGTGCAAGTGCAGGCAGTCGCGCCCTGGCAGAAATATGAACGAACAAAGAAAAATACGTTCGGTAGCGCCAACGAAGGGACGCTACAGCTACAAGCAAACAAAGAAAAAGAAGGGAAAAGAGGGAAGTACGACAAATACGCAATGGCCATAGGTCGACATCTTGCAGTTGTGAGGTAGGTAGCTGCAGTCAGCCGATATTCGAATACTCAAGTGGCTGAGATGTTTGGTGGAAGTCTCTATTTGCGTTTACAATTGCACCTGCATGTCTCAGGCCTACAGTTCATGGACCCTATTCCTCATTGATATTGAAAAATGGATATTAAGGTCTGTACTTATGGATGTTTTCCTCTCAATACCTAATCAAATTTGAATTAGGTTACCGCTAATTTCGCTCAAACAGTATTTGGAATATATTATGTGATTGGGCGTAACCATAGACCTTCGTTTTCGTCTAAGAAAAAAATGTCTGAGAGCGGGGAGAATGTGATGTGATGTGATCTTGGCATTGACTTTGGCGTTGGGGTTGGCTGGGGTTCTCGTGTACGTAGTAAACTCTGGTAAGACCGGCAGAAAAACCAATTAAGTTGTTGTAATTAAGGAACTATCGTACTCAAAGCATCAGCTCTTCTATTATTTGCCTCGAATCACTGGCTCATCGCACCATGTGGAAAATTAATTCACACCAAACGACTCACGTTATGCTTCAACCTTCAACCAGCCGAAAGTCGTACTGTATACGAATATCTCTGCTCGAAGGATTATAATACGTTACACAATCTGCATCCTGCCTCATTTTCTCATATGAACGGCGAGTGACTGGATGCAGGTAACCAAAGTCCCGTAAGATTCAAGGACACTGTAATTTCTGTTTGTTTACAATGGTCTGCTCATATAAAAGCATGCCCCTACCACGGTTCATAATATCAATATCGATCAAGTAACCCCGTAAGCTATCATAGCAAGTATATGCTATTTGGCTTATACACAAATGGTGTTTCACCCATGGCTATAATTCAGCTGAACATGGGTGTCAATGGAGCCTGGCTAGATTTAAATACCAATAAACAGCAACAAACAACAGGCCAGTCCATTATTGCACCAGGATCTTTAATTGCACGATAACTACCTTAGGTACAGAGTGCGAATAGTCACAATGACATTCCTTACTTTACTTATGAGCCGTATGCCCTCACCATTTATATCATGAATCTTGGGCCACTAGTGAACACCTCATGACACAGTTAGTAAGTAGTCAGGTCATATATAGTATCAACAAATGGAATCAGTAAGAACGAGTTTCCCGTCTTCCTCCCATACCCCATTCCATCTGTCCAAGTCTCGTGATTCTGCAATTCCGTGTCCGTGACTGCCGGTGGGCCATCGCGAAAACCTCAACACCTCAAATCAACGCAATCAGCTCAATATTCAGCCATGTCTGTTTGCTTTGTGCGACCTCACAGCTGACCCTGGCCCTTCATTATCACTGGCTTGCTGCATCGCCAGCATTCGCGACCCGTGTACAACCACTCCATTCTTCAATAATCTATCTTACCACCTACTAGCTACCTAGCTATTCATCAAGCCGAGTGATCGCCTCTCAATGTGAAAAGCCCTCTTTCCCGAAGCCAACAACGAGATCTGCGAAGTCAAGACATCAAAACCTGCTCCCACGCCTGTCAAGTCCGCTTTGCTGGCATCCATAGCATCTTAAAATAGTATCTGCAAAGTTTCGACTGCATCATCCAATCCCGAAGACCCCCTAGACTAGAGGGGCTGATGCACCGTATCGAACAAAGTATTTACAACCTAGGTAGCAAGTCCTGTCCTGTCCTATCACCAATTCTGCTGCTCTTGAGCCTTTGCCAACATCTTCTCAACCTACCTAGTTTGTCGACTGTTTTAACAGCAACCCTAAGTCTTTAGGCGCTTTGATACGATCGGCCGTGCTGTGACCTAGTCTACAGCCCTTGATTGAAACCATATGTGATCTGGGTTGCACCAATCGCAGCCCTCCACGCTAGGCATCTCACCTTGTCCAGGGACCACGCACTTCACACTTCTCCCGCCTCCCCAACCGCGACAACTGCTCCACCCCAGCAAAGCATTCGTACCTTAGTGCACCACTTGAGCACACTATCATAGCGCACCACCTCAGCCACGGGCTTGGTCTCCTCAAGCTATTATACCCAACTTACGCATCATCTCCAGCTCTTTCGCTGTGAGGAGTTGAAACGACCGAACCCAGCTCTGGCAATACGGCGACGGAGTATTGGTTCGGTGGATGGTGTACAAGTCAGATATCATTCTGTTTCCCTTCACTCAACAGACAAGCCTCTTTCTTGGCTACCCGCTGTAACCATCAGACTCGGTCCCGCGCCACCGTCAGGTTCCGCAGAGTTTCAACCGCCCTTAAACTGCCACTCCATTCCTCCCTGCACGGCCTCAAGCGTCCGACATCAACGCAATCGCCTCAACCATCACCAGCGCATCGCTTCATCACATCATGGCCTCACGAGGCCCCAATGAAGGGTCGCCCAAGCCAGAAGTTGGCGACACCTTGATTGTGATACGTATGTTTATCCTCTAGCTTCCCGTTCTTTGTCTGTAGTATCCTCTGATACTGATTTCGTTTCTCAACCCTGTAGATGATTTCCAGGCTCGAAGCTCCGATGAACTTAGTCTTGCGAAGGGCGACCGAGTTGAACTCATAGAAAGAGACGACGAGTTTGGTGATGGATGGTTCCTCGGCCGCCATCTGGTCAACAATAACAATGGACTCTTTCCTGAAGGTTGGTGTTTAGAAACCTTGTTCTATACCCTACGACGAGAACATCGATTGACACTCGGCAGTTTACACTAGACCAGCCCCAAGAAATATTCCCACGAGCACTTTTAGTGCCTCAAAATCCCAGACTGCTCAGCAAGAACAGACTCAGGACTCGAGTGCTGATACAGGTACCAAAGAAGAGACCGAGTTACAACAACCACAAAATAGGAACCCTGTGACATTGCCTCTCAACAACGTCAAATCTGAACCCACGCTGGTGCCAAGCGAGCCACCTGTATTGCCCGCCTTGAGCCAGCTGACGACTCAGAATCAGGACAGCCCTGTCTTGCACGAAACGCTCACTGTTATTGACGAACATATTACCGATTTACGATCACCTGCGAGCAACGGCGGACTCCGAGCGATAGCGAACGATTCCGGAAGCGAATACAGCAGCACCCATCCCGGTCAACGAGCATCGTACATCCAAGGCGAAGAGACTGACGAAGAAGAGGAGGGTTTTCATACACGAGACGAAGTCGAATCGTGGTCTCCTGATGATGTTGCCGAATATCTTTTTACGTCAGGAGTCGAAAAGCACCATTGCGAGGTCTTTAGAGACCAAGAGATATCCGGCGAGGTTATTCTCGGTATGGATCAGAGCTCGCTGTTCATCAAGGCGTTCGATCTTGGTTCTGTCGGCCGGCGCCTCAAGACTTGGCACAAGATCAAGGCACTTCAGGATGAAGTGAGCAATCAAGGCTTGGAGACACGACGTACGACGCAAACCTTTGGAAACGATGGTTCAGAGGAAGGCCGTAGATCTAGGAGCCGAGCAAACACCCTAACCAACCGGCCCACTTCTATTCAAACGAGGCGACTTTCCTTATCGCAGAATACGCCAAAAGCATCTCCAACATTTGGAGGATCTCATGCGCAAGATAGCTCTAACCGCGCTAGTCATATCAAGCGGCCATCCGCGGCATCGATCAGGGAATTGAACCATTCGCGTCGACACTCTTCGTCAACTGATTTTCTCCAAGCTGGCCCTGCGGCAGCATCCCCAGCCGTTCCTGTTCCTAGGATCGCGACTACGGGTACTTTCCCCGGAAGCGAGACTGTCCATAAAAAGCAGCCATCATTTGACAGAAATTGGACCCTGGGCAACGCCTATTCGCAACCCCCCCAACGACCCCTTTCTTCAACTGGTCTTCAAGATTTGCTTAGCCCATCAGGAGCAGAAGCACAAGATTCTACTGTTGACGCCGATCGAGGTTACTTCTCTGGAACAGAGGTGGATGGGAGGAAAAGAAACTTGTTACGAAAGCGCGACAGCAATGCTGAATCGAGAAAGTCAAGCTATGCGGAAGAGCAAAGGGTTAGAAGCGCCACAGCTATGGCACGACAGTCAAGATTTGGAAGCGTGGGGTCTATTGCGGAAGGGGGCATTTCGTCAGCAGCTCAGAAGTACTACGGTATCCAGTCTGGCGCTCATAGGAGAACTGCGTCAGCCGCTTCAGAATCAACGATGAACATGCCGCCACCCAACGACGTCCCTTCACCCACTGTCACCAAACTGGACACTTCAGTCAGTTCAGCTCGCTCAACCGCCTCACCTATCTCATCGAGACATCAAGGTTTCAACTCGGACTGGCTGTCGTCAATGGTCAATAAGCCTATTGCCCTGGCTGGAGGAAAGGGTATGCGAGCCATATCTGATAATCTTAGCCTCGATCGATCGAAAGCTTCAACTCCAACGGACTCATCGAACAAAGATTTCTTGGTCGACTCTCCTGCGCGAACCGGTTCGACAACTCCATCAGGCGGAGCAAGTTTCGATCTGGAGTCTCCCGACACTGCCAAGAGTCCCAGCACTCCCGTGACCCAGGTCAACAAGAAGGCTGGCAAGAAGGGCAAGAAGGAAACGAGCGCTTACACCCGCGGGCTGCTCAAAATCTCACCAAAAGAGGCATGCAAAGATGCCGATTATAGTGGTTGGATGAGGAAGAAGAGTTCTAACCTCATGACAACCTGGAAGCCTCGTTTCTTCGTTCTAAAGGGCCGGCGGCTGGCATATTATTACTCAGAGGATGACGACCAAGAAAAGGGACTCATCGATATCTCGTTTCATCGAGTTCTACCAGCAAACAATGAGAAACTCACAGGTCTTCATGCTACGATCACAAGCCTTGGGGGTCAGTCAATGCCTGTATCCCAGAATGGCGATGATAACTTGGAGAAGGGAGATGACTCTATCTTCATCTTCAAACTGGTTCCTCCCCGAGCTGGTCTCTCCAGGGCTGTGAACTTCACAAAGCCAACCGTTCATTACTTCGCTGTTCCCAATCTAAAGCAAGGACGCCTATGGATGGCGGCCTTAATGAAGGCAACAATTGATCGAGATGATACCAAGCCAATCACCACGACGTACCAGCAGAAGACAATTTCTCTTTCCAAAGCCAAGCAGATGCGTCATCGCCCGCCGGCTCTGATGAATCTCGACGAAGGGGCTGAAGAGGACGCTGGTACGGCCCGAAAGGAAGCCAACGGCTTGGGAATTTCATACGACGAGGCTGACAGTGGTGTTTCTGGTGTCGACAAACTCGCGGGCCAAAAGGCTGAAGAAGTTAAGTCAAGCCTCGAGTCCGAGAAAGAGAAAGAGAACCCACAGGCAGCTTGATCGATGCCATGCCCACGACATTACTTACAATTTTCTTTTTAATTGGTGAGGCGTATCTGGTCTTTCCCTAACAATACTTCCCTTACTCATTTTCCTACCCCCCTTCTCATATAGAAGCTTAATCCTTTTATTTTTACTTGATACCTCAGGCGCAGGGAAAAACTGGGAATCTTAACAAGATATGGTGATGAAACAGTCAGACGTGGATGGAATGGAATGCAATGGAAAGTGGAGGAGAATCCCATCTCATCCCTTTGGTAGTGGATATGCATGAGCCGCGACCTTGCGAAGAAGAACGAATAAGAATGTCATGTTACAAGAGACAATGATGATGAGGACGGCTTTTGTTACTGGCATTTTTACAAATATGAAGCCTAAGGATGATTTGCTGAGCTGGAGAAAATGAGCGTCCCTCTGAATGGGGTACGTACTAGTGGCTTGAAATCTTGTTTTTCTCATGGTCGTAACGTGAAAGAAGGTCTTTATGTTTGGGTGACACAAACCAATTACAATCGAGCCAGCTGGATTGAATGGAGGATTTTCTGTTGAGCAGAGAATACTCATTGAGTTGGGGGAGCCGTACAGTTCACCTTTCAAGCCTACATAGTCTCACATGAATGTGAATGCAAAGAAAAGTTCATGAGAATATCGAATTGGATAAGACGATCGCTTGTTCTAGAGGTATATGAGACGAGAAGAAAAGGGCATCAATCACCCTTACGAGAAACTCCGTGTACCTTTTTGGACCAAGCCTCTTGGCTCGACATGTAACCCTATCATGAAAAAGAAATTGCCCGAAAGCATACAGAGTCCTTTGCTTGGGACGTTAGAGCCTTGATAATATAAGTCCAGCGCCCCTGGGTCGTATCCGTCATTAGACCATCCAAACGCCATGAAAAGCATTGTACCCTACTCTAGTATCCCACTACCTCTTTCTAACCCTTGCATCATCCTTGGACTTGACTATAATCAATCCACGGTGATAGCTGAGTGGCTGCAACAGCAACAACACAAAATTATGATCTTAAACCTTTTGGTTCATGCCCGTCAGAAGCTGCCGTATGGATTTCATCAGGTGCAGCTCAATCCCCTCGAAGTTGCCAACAGCCTCACCCTCACCAGGTGGTGGAACAATGCTAACGTCTGCTATGCCTAGCACCCGGTCAATAGCGGACAACGTGACAGCCTCCGCTTTGGCTTCGCCAAGCTTTGGATTGAGAGCTTTGACTGAGACATCCTTGAAACCATTGAGGGACGCAAGAACTTTGGCATCGAGGAAAGTTAGCGTCTCGGCAGCTGAAGGGGAAGCAGAAGAGGCAGGTCCAGGTGTGGGACTTTTTGATTTCATGTAGGCATCAACAACCTGGCGGATGCCCTTCATGCAGATCGTCTCCATTTTGTCATTCTCAGTCGCCTCTTTCTTGAGGCCAATGCAGCGGTTGAGTGCTGACATAACAATCCCTTCGGCCTTGGGGTTACGAGCCTTCTTAAGGTTTTCGATCAGGCCGCTCTTCAGCTTGACAACCGCAGCGAGCAACTTGGGCTCGATGGCATAGCGAGCTGTGGGAGACGCTGCTGAAACCGATGGAGTGCGGTTCACGGGAGTGGCAGGCTGTTGTTGCGCTTGTGGCGGTCCAGCTCCAGGCACAGTCTTCGCAGCCACAGCCAGAGGCACTGGGGGAGGGGGGTGCTGCTGCTGTTGCTGCTGCGCGAGGGATGCACCAGTAGGAACGGCGGTGGCATTGGCGTGCCCTTCCTCACTCTTGATCGGGGTGTTTGCTGGTGGAGGTGGCCGTGGTGCGTATGGAGAGCTGTAAGTACCCTGCGGGGGCACCCCAAGCTGTGGGCGGGCAGGGGCTGGTGGAGGTCCATAACCTGGTGGCAGCTGTGCTGGCGCCGGCGGTTGTGATGCCACCGCTACTGGGGCTGGTTGACCCGGGGCTGGTGGTGATGCAGACATACCATATGGCTGCGCTGGCCGCCCTGGTTGGGTTTGCTGTGCCGTATATGTTGGCATTTGATAGCCAGGAGGTGCTTGGCCAGGTGGGTAGCCGGGAGCTCCAGGTGCCATATGCTGGGCATTGTAGGCATACGGAGCTGGATATTGACCATATGCGTGTGCTGCTGTACGATCTGGTGACGAGGCTTTCCTCTTCTTACCAGCATCGAGTTCAACACCTGGAACACGAGACCAAAGGTTCGTAGTCTCATCTTTTCTGAAAGCTTCGTTTCCGATAAGATTGTGGCGCACACTACTTTCCCAGCCTTTCGTTTCTGTATGGAAGTAGAACCAGGGATATCTCTGACAAATTCTTTTGTAAATCTGTTTGAGCGTAAGGCCGTCCGGTCCAGCCGCTGTGAGCGTTTCGTCGATAAGCACACCATAGTTCTTGTTCGGCTTCTGGAGCTGTTCATCGGTATAGTCCTCGATCTTGAGCTCCAAGGGGGGGATTTTGGTCGAGCTTTCTTCTCCTTCTTTTCTCTTGCTCGCCTCTCTGCATCTGAACCTTCAGCACCGTCCTCCCGAGGCTTGCGAGGTTTGTACTTGCGTTTTTCTGGTCTCTCCGAGGATCCTTCCGGCAAAGGATGTTTTCGAGGCCGCCCGACCTTACGTTTGATTGGTGGCTCTACTGGGGGCGCCTGTGGCAAGGTCTTCTTCGCCATCTCTTGCTGTTGCTTCTTCAGCAGCCGCTGCTCTCGTTTCGACATAATGCCATTCTTGGGTGGACGGCCGGGCCCCCTCTTCTTGGGTATCTGGGGCATCAAATGCTCCTGATGAGGATCAAGCATGCCCTCCTGCTTCAATCCAGATTCCGCTTCCGTAATCGGCATCTCATCGATATCCATGTCCATGTCCATGTCCATATCCATGTCCATTTCTGCATCCATTTCACCGTCTGCCTCCTCTTCTATATCAGCTTCGATCCTGGCCTCCTTTTCTGGGGCTGTCTCTACTGTTTGGATGGCTGCTAGCTCCTCAGCCTCTGCTTCAACCTCAGCCTCATCTTCATCGCCATCACCAAAGTCAGGAGACTCAGGTGGGCTTGCCACATCAGACAACTCGTCGCTCGTGTCCTGAATCTCGCCGTTACCATGCGCAGACTCAAAATCGAAACTCATCTCTTTTCCGCCTTGGGCGTGTCGCTTTTTGAGGGCCATGACGGGTTCTTCATCAACATCCTCCTCGGCACCCGTTCGGCCCCTCTCAACACCATTGATGAGAAATCGGAAGTCGACGTCTTTGATTTGCAATCGATCGCCGCATCGCAGTACGAGCTTTTCACGGTTGTAGTGCACATCCTCACAGAAAAATCCATTCTTATGGAGGGGTATAGCTTCAAAGACACCCATGTCTTGATTGTACGCAATCTTCAAATGCTCCCGGGAAATTGCTTTCGTCTTGGATGCAATGTTTGGACCCGGTGAGTGGATACCAATGAACGGAACATGATATGGCGAGGGGCGCAGAGAGCCCAAATCAACTGCTGCAGCACCAGGCGTGTGAGAAACATATTGTCGGTTAGAAATCATGTTTTCCTGAGCTTGTGCCGCCGCTTCATCCAAGTCGTGCTGTGATGAGCCCTGTGTACTCGTCTTACGCCTTTTCGTTGGTCGGGGGTTTTCCCCCGTATCTGATTCGGGGCCTAGCATACCTCCCTCTTCACTGACATAGGATTTGCTGAACTTGCTTCGATCTGGGTGTATCGGGGAAGGTGGCGGGAGACCTAGGTGCACGTTCTCTTCAGCACGCCGCCGATGCTCTTCGGCACGTCTTTCATCACGACGTGCTTGCTCCAGTGCACGCTGATCTCTTCCAATTATGACAGCGTAGGTGGTCATCTGAAACACGCTGTCGGCAAATTCGATACGTGCAAAGGATTCAAGAGCCTTGTGGGAATCCGTTTGGCGTGTCGAATTTGTCGGAGCGACGCCTTGGAAAGACTCGTTCAACAGGTTAGGCAGAGTGACTTGAGCTGGCGTGACTGTGGGGGGCGGTGACATGGCTGTCGCGGCCCCTGACATTGTAGCCAGTGCCATCATCATGTAAGCGTGCTGGTCGATGGTGGGCATCGAAGTCGCAGCATAAGGAGTCGACGGCGCAAAGTGTTCTCCCCTGTTGTCGGCCTGCATCTGCAGCTGCAAAGGTGTAGATTGTTGAGCTTGATCAATGTTTAATGTTGCAGCCGCATCGCGAGGGGTAGAAGTGTCGAGCGTTGGGTGATCGCCAGAGTTAACATTCACGGGAGCTGAAGCCTCGGTATTCAATGGCGTCTCCGGTTGCTGCTGTGATATTGATGTGGTAGCATCAGCGGCTATGGCAGGAGCGCTCGGGACGCCGTGAGTTGCGGGCGGCGTAGATGGTGAAGGTTGAGAGTCTGACACTTTCTTCGGGGCAGAAGATGCTGTTTCTTGGTTAGGGGTTGCAGCCTTTGGTGCAGGAGCAGCCGAGGTTTCTTCTGGTGAAGGATTTAATGGAACTGTTGGAGGAGGAGCAGATGCAGCTGGTAGGGTAGCAGTCGAGGGAGGCGCGGAAGTTGATGTGGTAGTTGAGTTTGAAGGGTCGGCAGTCTTGGCCGTAGTGGAAGAGGAGGAAAACCCAACAGAGTTTCCATTTGAATTTGAAGTTTGAATTGAGGCAGAAGCAGAAGCAGAAGGTGCCGGGACTGGGAGTTTGGCTAGTGCCTGGTCAGCAACTTCTGAATCGCGGTTTTCGTCGTTGCTCGCCGGTGAATGCGAAGTCGCGTTTATCTTTGTCGCAGATGGAGTGGGAGTCGCATTTGATGGCGTCGCAGCTGGTGAAGTCGCAGTTTGTGTTTGTGTTTCTGTTTCTGTTGATGTCGTTGTCACGGTCCTGGATGCGACAGGCTGTGTGTCTCTGTCGGCACCAAGGCTGTTTTGCAGGCCATTTAGGCCAGCAATGGACGAAGTCATCGCTGCTCGTGCGACCAGCTCCTTCGTCACTTCGCCCTCACCTCGGGGTGTAATCCAGAAGGTATCGCCGTTGGCTGGAGACAGGGAAAATAAAAGGTTCAAGCGGGCGAGGCTTTCTGGGTCCTTTGAGCCGCGATAACTGAGAGGGTCAGGGCGGGCAAGGCTGCACGTTTTGATAGGTCAGCTGGGGGGCTTCCTTCCTTCACGGACCCCGAGTCTCCTCTTACTTGCTAGATTGGCGGTTGGCCGCGATGTTTTGCGCCGCTAGTACTCTTTGGGTAATCAGGAAGTCGCAGTCACGAATATGACCTTGTTGGGTTGCGCTTTCTCAGTCATTTACTTATGCGAAGATAGAAGGGACCGGTTTCAATATTGTTAAAACAAGAGGTACCTTGGAGAAGGGATAACTACCTTACCTACTATGTATGACTCTGATAAGCAGGTGCTACCTCAGGCGAAGACCTTGCTATCTATGAGTTACCTGGGTAAGTACCACACGGTCGTACATAAGTTCTTTCCCCGCGCCGCAGCCACCTCAGTTATAGGTTTATTCCTTATTGTTCAGGAACCAAAATGATTGAGCTAAATAAGGTACTGAGGTAGTAGTTAAGCATTGGGCTAAACAATAGAGATCTCTGGGAACGATGCTTCAACCTTCATAAACAAAAGCCGATCTTTGTAATGGTCCCGAATTCGCAATAACATGATTGATATCCCATCTTCAATGTCACTCTTTGTGCAATTTGTGTGTGAATTGTATTTTGTTGTCCATGGTCGAAAGCCAATAAAGTTCTGATTAAATCTTAGAGACTATTAATTCTAGCGTGTTATATCGTGCAGTCCTCATTTATACTTCAATAATACTCTCATATTGCCGTGGCAAGTTGGTTGGGGACCAGTAGTTTAATCTTTTGCTTTTTTGCTCACTCCGCCAGCCTACCCTGTTGCTCAGAGTGTAAATGAAGCCATCTGCAGGTTGGCATTTCGATGAACATAATAAAGTTCTTATGTCCGAATCAGATCTAGTTCCCTAATATCTTACAATTGGACGATTCAACGTAGCTGGGAGTACGTATCAAGCTTTTAAAAATGTCAACCCAACTTGTCACATTCAGAAGCTGGCGATGCTATATTCTATCTCCACCCTGTGCAACTCACGACGAGTAGAATCGAGAAGCCTGTTGAGACTCACATTTTCGCAAAACAATCAGTACCAAAGCTTATCATGCAACTAACATGGATAATACTATAGCAATGTATTGTCAAATCACACGCGTCAAAACCAACACGGCGTAACAAACTCTAGGGACATGTTCGATAATGGATGCTGACATATAGTTTCTGCGATGCAGACTATCCTTTGATGGATCTTATACCGAGGGGGAAAAAAAAAAGGAAAAAAAAAAAGACGATCTCCCAAAGTTGATACCCATATTGTTGAAGAAGAAACAAAACGCCGTATGTAATGCGTGTTCAAAGGGTCTTCATAGCATACAGTGAAGGCGCTAAAAGTTCAGTGAAGCAGGGCCTCATGCTCAGTTGAAAATGCGCGATGCGAGTATCGCGTTGTCAATCGTTCTGAAAGACGATACGCTCCATGGCAGAGCATGCCTGCAAAGAACCCCACAGCATCGTTTCTGAAGGCGAGAATTCCAGCAGTGGTCATGAGCATAACAGTCCATCTCTCCAGACGTTCATCATCTGAAAGATCGCGTTGACGGGATCCCTGACCTGCGGCCGTGTTCCACAAATCGGAGGCTCCTTGGTTGAGGCTGTTGCCCACCTTAGCGAGCTCTAGACCAGCTGCTATGACCATGATACCAAGAAGACTCTTGGGGTAGTGCTTCAAGAGATCTACGAGGGTTTCGCCAAAAATAAGTCCTAGTACTAGCTTGAAAGCTCCCAGTACGATGATGCTGGAGCCGCTTCGAGCTCCGAAGCGATATTGGGCGGCCAACCCCCCGGCACCATGGCAGACAGGCATACTTCCGAACCAGGTGCTGCTCAAGTTCATCAGCGCAACGCTGATTCCGATTGATGTCACCGAGGGAGTCGGGAGTTCGGGTAGAAGATCCTGAGATAGTGCGCTGACGGCGATGATAGAGTTGAGCGTGGTCAGAGGCAGTTGTCCGATAGCCATCCACAGGGCAGGCGAATCATCTTTTCCAACCCAGTGCGGCATGACAAAGTGAGGGTGCCAAGCATAAAGCCACGGAAGACTTTCGTGGGATATAGCGACCTGAATAAAGGCGAAAAGAAGGGCGAGTATAAAAAAGAGCAAGGCATAGGGGAACCGGGATAGCTTTTGTGTGCCGATTAAAACGAGGAAAGCGATCAAAGCCCACACACGATTATCAAGAGCTGGATGACCCCAGTGAAGAGGCTGAAGCAGAGAAGATCCGGCGCCGAGAATCAATGAGAGGCCTGCTCCCAACTGAATACCCTTTACTACTGGGAGTGGTACAACACGGACAACCCTTTTCAGGAGACCTGTAACACTCATGATGAGTACGGCAGCACCAACCCATTGGCCTGCAGCCGTGACGACACCCATAGGAGAGCCATTCTGGATGGCTGCTGAGGCAATAGCCTGTACCGTAGCATATGAGGTTAGCCTTGTTGTAATTTGATACGAAAGGTGTTGCTCAGATACTCACCTTCATGGGCTGAACAGGTAAAGGAATACCATAGAATGCACCAGTGAGGATATTGAACAAGCCCGTAAACACGAGTGTAGTTCCCAAATCGATGGATCCTTGTGCGGCCAAGGCAATCGTCAAAGGCAGCAAGGTGCCAAGATCACCCAGCGATCCCGAGATTTCAGCCCATGGCGCTGTCCGTAGAGTCGTGAAGTTGTTGCGGTTGAGACGCCGTAAATCATTTGCCCATGAAGGTGCCATTTCACGTGCGTTTGAAGTGACCACAGTTAGAATGGACAATGCGCGCGCTTCTAGCTGGTGCTGACTTGGCGCTCGGCTATCACTATTCGATCTTGAACTGGCGATTAGATAGACCAGGGTAGTTAGTAGGTGCTAGGTAGGCTCTGTATATCCCAAGGTCTTGGCCTATGCGTGTAGAGTAGTGGGTGCATACAGGAATGGAATGGTTAGAACAGTTAGTGAAAGGTTGGCGAGCAAGGCCCAATGAACAATGGCGACGATCTAAGTTGAGAAGGTGCACTTGAGTCGCTCGAGGAGAGAAATGATTCTTGACTAGGTACCTTATTGAAATAGAAGGTCGAAAGAGCCAGCAAAAGAAAATGGCGCAGCAAGGAGTATTCTTATGGAAGGGCCAACATCGTCGAATGCGCTGTATCCTCTTTCACGGCTCTTATCAAAGATGTCAGACATGGTGTGGGACAAGGCCAAGTGATCAAGATGTTGCATCTCCTTGGTTCTCCATTGTGGTCAGCTGTTAGTTTTGTATTACTACTGGTGATGGACCCATAAGACTGAAGCGATATTTCCTCCGTGAGACTCTGGTTACCCTATACCTTTCTCGAATTTCCGCATCATCAGTAAGAATCAAACAATCTTCACGGAATGATTGAGGAAATTGTACGCTGCTACTGCCAAGTGCCAAGCTGGGCCTAAACCCAACTATCAAATCTTGGAGTTACTCCAGTGGTCTGACGAAGAGTCATGCATGGGCCAGTGATCCGTTAATGGAGCACTACAACAATAAGCGATTTCGGAGAACACCATGTGTACTGATTGCCTTGGAGCTGTAAAAGGCAGCATGTAAACGAAATACGGTATCTATTGTGACTGATAGATAGATAAAGCTTCCCAAGAATTTACTATTTAGGACAGGTAGTTATTGCCAAAAGCTGAGCATGCCCGAAAATCAACATTATGTGCTACAAATAGTGTCAAAGCGAGTCTTGCCAAGCAAGTGAACATGTTTCTCATGATCGGTAAGATTGGCTATCATCCATATGGAGTCACTGACAGAAAGCAAAAAGCAGAGCAACTTCAGGGCAACTAGTCTACATGTTTATCATGATTTACTAGGCGGAGAATAACCTCATGCGCATGGATTTCTACTGTTCAATGTTGGTCAACCCCAGGGGAAAGTGTCGATCCTCAAGTGGAAACACTGACCGCTCCCAAAATGATACATTGGGACCTCGACAGTCGACACCATGGAGCTATTAACCTATTTGAAAGTCCCTGGCTGAGGCCCCATAGTCAGGTTCATTGGTGACGATATACCACTAATTACGCACCCCATACTTCCGCGGATTCGTTCCTAGCTTGGCGTCGTACGCAGCGTCGGTATTTCGCGACATTCTCGTTTGGAAGGCTAGAAGGCATACCGAACCCCAGCAGATACAAAAACCCCCCGGTCTACCGTGATCGCACCCGTGTTTCTCCAAACACGATGTTTTGGCCTGTCGTGGTAGGTGTACCCTTTCCTCAGGCTGCTGGCCAAGCTCGGCTCCGGCCGCTGAGGATGCATCCATAGATGTTTCGAGGCGTAACCAGCCATGGATTGTACTCTAGCAAAACTTGCAAGGCTGGTCAGGGTTTTCGGGTTGAGTCAGGTAGGCAAATTGTTGCCGTGTAGAGGCTCCCACTTACAACCGTAGATAAGCATGATATTTCGTAACGAGGCTTTTCTTCAAGTCTACGTACTAATGGCCTATGACCTCATCACACTATGTAGGCGAGCGGTTGTCGCGCTGGGGTGAACTCCCGGCGATAGCGAGGTGTCCCGGCCACAAGTCGGCAACTAGGGCGCGAAACCTTGCAAGCATAGCCGTTTTATCCCTCGTCTTCCGGGACTTCCAGCCGGGGTTTCCATTGAGAGAACTCCGGGCTTGGACTTCTGACTTCTGAATCCGACGAGTACCAGCTATTCCTGCCCGTGAATGAGACATATCGGACATGGAAAAGAGAACTGATATCCGTGGGGAGAGTTTCGAGGCTTGCAGAGGCACCAATCCGTATGCTTTCAGTGGTCAGCCACGGATATCGACTCTCCACTTTCCACGCCAAGCCGGCAGCCCAGGGCTCTCATGATGCTGGCAGATCCATGTCATGCAGTGGTAAACCCGTGCTGTGGTATACAGAGTCGTTAGAAGTTAATTGGATGAGGCTTTTGTTTGTTGATAACGACAAATATTGATCGCGGACCCTGGTGTTAACGACCTCTTCCATCTCAAGATCTTCTCCGATACGTTGGTTGTTGAATTGTCAGTCACAAGTTCGTGGATAGCGCTGGAAACAAAGGATGCATGCTTCTTCCCGGCATTGAAACTGGGTCGATAAGGCTTGATTTCAGACTCGGTTGCTGGATCCTTGCATGTCAGGTCAAGCAAAGTCTTAGCTTGCACAGTGTCGCATGCAACTGTGGAGATCGGGGAAAAGATGTGGAGAGTTGTTTTTTTGGAGGATTTCCCTTTCGGATGGAACCTAGGTACAGAGGTGAAAATGAAAGTGAATGAGAGGACCTTGTAGAGCGGCGGCCTGCCCGAGGGCGCTATCCGCTCGGAGTCTGATATCAGAGTATTGCGATATGATCACGAGAAGCAACAAGGCCTGAAGCACCTTCGAAGGGCACTGTTGGAAGCTTGGCGATGGCTCATGCAATATCATGAAAACAACAGCCTGCGCTAAGCTTTTGCGCATTTGTTTGATTGGTCACTCAAGAGCTGCCGAGACACAAATGTTTATCAAGTTGGCAAGGCCTCATCTCCCATAACTCATGTAATTAAACAGAGGCTGAAAACAAGCAAAACAACAAAACAGAAGGGATACCCGACCCTTTACGAGAACCGTCCAGGAACGGCACGAGGCTGGATACTAGATTCGTCGTCATTTCGGAGACTTCGCGCAATCTCTTGTGCATGATACCCATCGTCCTACTAGAGATGGGCTTATTGTGATGGATGGAGGCGGTATCCGTTATATCGATTCCGTTGCAGCCGATGGGACGGAGTTGATAGCCTTCCATGGGCAATTGCCTATGCTAGAGAAGTAAATTCGCGCAAGTTATTACTGGGAAAGCAGCACTATACTGTGTGTAGACTGTGATATTCTAAACCTCGAGCTTTACTTGCTGCAGGCATTTTGGCTTCCTCCCTTGTGGGCCGTGGAACCCATGAATGGATGCAAGTGGTATAGAGCCTCGACCTCCCCACATGGGCAGTTGACAATCTCACCGCACCGTTTCTTCAGTTGCCGTGTTCCGAGTTGCGCATTGCTGTTCCAGCAGTTTTTTTCCGCGGCAATGTCGATGAGCAGTACAGACTCATCGTGTATCTCCGCTTGTACCTTGCACCGGGACTAGCGTCCCTGTTATAGGCGGCCCGTTCGTGGAGAGCGGAATTAACCAAGCTTTGAGTGGTATGAGCATCGGGTCTTTGTAATCTGGTGACATCGAGGCTACCTCGGGATGAGGTATGGGTTGCGTCGATTCAGATAAAAAAAGTCAATTGAGTGAGCGATTATTGTTTATGAATGACAGTCAATCGATCAATTTCGTAGCTGTAAGAGAGAAAGAGGTGTTGCCTGGAATATCCCTCGTTGTAAGTTGTGAAGTTGCTGCTCCAGCTCCGTTACCTTGCCATTGCCATTGCCTTCACTCGTCATACCTTTTCCCACTACCAGCGAAGCTTCCCAAAGAGAGATTGGAATATTTTGTCTTTTTCTCTTCTTTTTTCTTTCGTCTCTCTTCTCCACTACACAGCATCATCCTACAACTACTCCTGTTCGCACCTTCAGAGCTCCCTTCTGTCGACCTCTCAGACACCCATATCAGCAAAATTCCAATTGATCTACACCCTTGTCAGTGACAGTTGCTCTGTTTTTGTTTTGTTCCTAGCAGAGCCTGTCGTCTTTGTAAGTCCCACTTTGTATCCCAGCCCAGTCTGTTTCTCACTCCCCCTGGCTGGTCTCTGGACTGGAGCATCATCATCACCACCTTCATCGAAATCCACCTCATCCGGGGCATTCGGGGGGCGTCAAATCCTGTGTCAAATCCTGTACTTGGACTTTGGTAGTATTGTACAGTGCACAAAAACCCTCAGAGTCTCAAGATAGGATAGGTACCTGATAGGCATCACCTGGCACCTCCTCTAAGCCTGGCCTCCGTCGCACCACCCTCAGAGTCTTCTCCCACAATGAGATGCTCACCCCCCTGGGGCTTGTACCCACTAACACCATGGACCCAAGCAACCACTGAAAGAGACCCTGCTCGCTCGCCTTGACCTCTCTTAGCTGGTGTTGCCCGGGATTTGGACCCATTTTACGTACAGAATCCTGTCCCTCGTTTGGTACAAAGTCTGATTCCTCGCGGGTTGTGACGCTGTTTCCCCCACTTTTCACAGCTCTTGGACGACTTTTGGTGACGGATAGCTGATCAACAAAACCACAGCAGAGCCCGCCTTCGCGACCAGATTCACTTGTTGCTTCTTCATCACCCTCCAAGATCGCAAAGGTAAGTCGATTTCTTACTCACAGTCGCGCTGCTCTTCCTTCGCTCTTCTCGTCCGCCCCCGGGCATATTTTACGTCTCGATTGTCAAGCCAATTCCTGTGTAATGGCCGTCGTCTCAATTCTGGAGTCATGCACGTCGTCGCAATCCTAGCGCAAATGCCGGCGTCGCGTCTTCAGTGACATTCGCCAAGAAGTCCATCAGAATATTTCCTGGATAGATTGCTCTGGCTTCGCTCGAACGCAGCTCAATTGAACGATATCGACGTCATGACCCCTTTGAATTGGTGCGACACTGTCGCTCAGTGGAAAAGGACGAGAATTTGTGAAGCATGGGCTGTCTGCCTATGGCCGCTTTATCGCGGCGCGGAGCCAAGGGAATACTCGTCAGCTAACATGCTCCTTAGCAATCTCTCCACTCCCGACATAATGGCCGCCATCAAGTCTCTCATGACCCGCGA